TGTACGATGAAAAGTACCCGGTCAAGCCAACAGACCAACGCAGAATAAATCACATGAGAGTGCGTTATCCGGACTGAATGTAAGACAGAGTATCATCGGCTCCGGGTCTTCCGTGTAGAGTTCGGATAAGTATCACCGTGGGGGGGCTGGAGTGTGGTGGGATCTAGGCTGGAAAGAGTCGGGAGCACGCTAGCTTCGCTAAAGATGGAAGGACGCTAGTGCATATCGGTGGATAGTGCACTGTTTGTCATACCTGCAGATCCTGAGGGCGCCAATGGCCCCAAATGCTCGGTCAGCAGGGCAAAGCCGCAAGAGGAGGGACGGCGGAGGGTGAAATTCACAATTAGTGGCCAAGGTATGGGAAACTGGAAGCTTCCGTCATTCCATTCCCAGCAAGTCGGTCCACAGTCCACACACACAACACAACACAAACACACAAGCCCAGCCATCCATTCGCACTTGTTACACCACTCGGCACGCACCAAGCACCACCACCACTCCTCACCATCCACCACCAACCTAACGCCAGCACCTCCCGCAGCCCGGCCGCCAGCCATGATTTCCTCGGGCTTTCCTTGACTTCCCCCCAAGGTTGCAATGCGAACTTCTTGACTTTCCGACTTCACATACCACTACCTTCGTCCCTCATACGGCAGACGCCTTCTTCTGACCTTTTCGGTTCTGTCTTATACCCAGTCGTTTTTCGTTTCTCGGGACCAGAAAATTAAAGGACCAGCCCTCCCCTTGCAACACCTTTCTGTTGTGGTTGTTATTCCCCCCAAAAAATCGACAGCCGAAATCCATTCGCTTGCCTGCCTACTAGGCACCTTGGCTTAATCCCAGGCTTCAGCCCGATCCACCTTGTTTGGGCGACCCGACCGGTTCCCCCTCGACCACCAACCGCGACTGCGACTACAACACGACACACAACCCCTGGTGACTCCTGTATCACTCGGAAACCTTCTCTCTCTTGAGAGCATCCGACCTAACTATATCATCACCACCTTTGCCGCCCTTTCGCTCGCCAAATATCGTCTTTTACTGCATCAACCATTGCGAAACCGCAACCGCTCGAACCTCCGAAACATCCAAGCTAGGAGGCACGCCATACAACATGCGTCGCCCCTCGGCAGACCTCACCGACCCTTCGCGCAATCTAGAGGAGTCTGTTGGCTCACCATCGTCAACCATGGAGGGAGCCGACGTTGACCTATCCATGCCCCCGACCTCCGACGAGGAGATGGACGACACTGACGGCCGCATCTTCACCCCGCCTCCGCACATCGCCGCCCGCTTCTACCGGCCCTCCCAGACCCGTCGCAAGGACTCAGCAGCCTCTTCCCGCCGCAACTCCATCTCTTCTGCACATTCCCGCTGTTCCTCGACCCAGACCTTCACCCGCCATGGAGACTCTGACCAGAGCAAGCACATTGCACAGCACCTCCGGCGCACGTCCTTTCTCGAAGACCGAAAAGCACGCCTCGCCGACCGAGCTGCCCACGCCGAAAAGGTTCGTCTGAGAGCCGCCATGGCCAAGGCCAGCCACCGCGACACCTCCCTATCCGAAGAACGAGCTATTGCTGCCCAACAAGCCCGGGAGCGCAACCTAGCCGAGATCGTGGCTTCCTGTGCCGAGGAGGTCAAGAGGGCGAAGGCCGTTGCCGAGACCATGAAGGGCAAGAGAGAACAGGAACTGGTCAAGCTCCGCGTTCAGATGGAAGAACGCTTGGCCGAGGCCGAGCGGCGGAGAGAAGAGCTAAAGGGCCGTAATGCCACCAAGAGGGCGCGAGGCCAGAGTCTCATGTCGCGGAAGCCCGCCGAGGCCTCTTCGAATACCTCTGACGAGAAGCGTGCTCGGGTGTTGAGTGAGCCTGAAGCAGCCGAAAAACTGCAATGGTGGTGGAAGAGCCTCATGAGGAGAAAGACTGTTGCTGAGTTCTCCGGGTTAGGCATCACCATTGACGGCGTGCGGGACACGTCTTTTGACCAAGTACTCGAGCTGTTGGCGCAAGAAGAGGTCCTCGTACAGACCGCCCGTATCCTCAGGATATGCGGCTTGCAGGAGGGCGAGACGGGGTCGGTTGAGGAGATGGCCGCCGTTCGCACATTTCTCAGCGCTTTCCTCATTCTGGGCCACCCCACGCAGGTTCTGAGTAACAAGGACGGCACGGGGGATAGGGAACAGGTTGGATTGTCACAGCCTCAACCAATGCCCCGTAATGACCTTGCTAATCCACAGCTGCAGGACCTCGTGACGAAAGCCCGAGATCTCCTAATTTCTTTCGAGAACATCATGTCGCGTCTGACCGCAGCCAACAATTATACCCCCCCGCCAACTCTACGTAGTGCACTGCCCGAGATTTATGCCACTTTCTACAATGCGTTCCTTGCATGGAAGTCTCGGGACTCGGAGTCTCTTGTTCAGCTAATGCTCTTGCAGTTTGTTGAGCTGGACATGATTTTGCAGACAGTCCAGGAAAGCACCGAAGACGCGGCCGCTGAGCAATACCGAGAGAGCATAAAGAGCAATCAAGTTCAGCTGATTGTGCGGATCAAGAAGCTTGCGGGCCAGGAAAAGGGCAAGAAGATGATTGGCGATGCCGTTCGCAAGGCTCGCAAGGCACGAGCCGCAAAGAAGCCCACTGGCGATATGAAGCCTCGGGTCGCCGAAAACGTGCCCGGAGAGGCTTCCGCTACTGCCGAAAGCCTTGTGTCGCCGGATTCGCAGACCTTGACACCGCCGCCCACGCCGGCCAAGGGTCATACCAAACCACAGCCCATTGAGATCAAGCCTGGGTTCGGCGGCCTGTTGCCCGATAACAGGATTGTCGTCCACGAGCTTGCCATTAACCGAGAATACCGCATCCCTTCAAGCGAATACCGGGAACACCACGCTGCCGTCCAGATACCCCTATTTGCCGGAATGAGAGCAAGCATTGAGGAAGACAATATGGACGCTAGCTTTGCATATTTTGTCATCATGATGAAGTATCTCAAGGACAATCTGCAGCGGCTCGTCAAGCCCGGTGCCTACATGCACACAACGATTAGTGAGATACTGGATGTCGAGGTGGCCGAGCGGCAGTTCCAGATGGGGAACTTCTCATATGAGAAGTTTTTTACTTCCATGGCAAACCTCTTGCCCAAGTTGTGCGCGCCATTCCGCGACGATGAGGCCAAGGATTTGGTGGAAAACAAACTTCAAAACGGGAGCTTGGTTGATCGGGTGGAAGCATTGACAGAATTTGTCGATTTCATGTTGTGCGACTACGTCAACTACATGTTCTCCACTGCAGCTCCCCAGTTGATTGAGTCTGCAACAGGATATGAGAGGAAGAGATTCACTGGGGCGCTTGAGAGCGGTGCACACGATTTGAGCGCGGCCGAGACGGCCTGGCGTTCTGCACGCTCCAAGGTTCTGGCGGAGGCTCGAAAGAGAGACCCGGAGGGCATCAATCACCCCAAGAATCGGCCAACGGACGACAAAATATACGCACAGCTGCTCGTCGACAGTTTCACGCAGCCGGCTCCAATCGCCGTTGACAAAGTACCCGAGATGTTGGGCCTGGACTACAAGCGCATGGTGCGGTTGTCCCTGGCCTCGCAGCGTATAGTCACCACCGGGGCCATTTTACTGCAATGCAAGAACCTCCTGAAGCGAGACGTCCGCACGCCGTGGAAGACGGAGCCGACACGGATCACAGCGGTGCTTGAGGCAGATCACGACAATGTCGAATCGACGGTACAGGGTGTCATGGCGGCACTCGAGGCTGGCAGGTCTATGCCAGCAGCGACCAAGACGCACCTGAAAGCCCTCGTTACCAAGGTGCTGAAGGCTAGCCAAGACTCGATGAAGAAGAGCATCGAGCCGACAGAACCCGTTCTGCGGCTTCTCCTGGCCAGGCTCAGGGGCCACATGAATGCCAGGCTGACTGCTGGATCAACAAAGGAGAAGCTCAACGCGGCTACGACTGCGCATGAGAAGCTGGCGGGTCTTGGCCTGGCGGAGTTCGCGGTGCAGGTTCGGGAGATGCTGGACGAGATATCCAAGGTCGGAGCCGTCGACAGAGCGGCCCACGGATCGTGGTGGAACGAAGTCGCGGCCAAGGTGGCGGCGGAGGGAGGAGCGACGGGCGCCAGCGCCAGCGCCGGCAGTTCGGCATAAGGTTGCAAGACGAAGAGCACGTGTGTATGCATGGTACGATATACGAGTAGAGGAGGAGGCATTCTTGAGAAGTTTTTCTCTTGACGACGTAATGATGTACTTGTTCGGGATCGAATGGGGGCAGGCGTTACGGTGTGTGATTGGCTGCTTTCGAGGCCGTTTTTCATGGCATGGTTGGGACGCATTGGGTATCTTGTGAATTAGCGCGCTCAGAGTGTTGGGAGGGAATTTGTCTGGAGGTAAGGGAAGGGAAGCACTATAGGTAGGCATCGATCGCGTTTGACGATGTGTTATACCAAGCGAATATTAGAGGTTTTGGGATGCCATAGCGGGGGAGGACTTTATACATTGAGCGTTGCAGAGGAAGAGCAACAATGGTTCACATTACAGCTATATATCTTTTCGGTTCGTTCTTACTTCGCTTGAGACTGTGATATGTTATTAATTAACTGAACTTATGGAATTCCACTCATTCATACCTCAAAGCATACAGATATCTACCTACCCTATATGGGGGCAGTCGTACCGAGGTCATCTCGCTTGTCGTCGGCGTTGAGCAATTCAACTTTTTTTTTTTTTTCCATCGAGGGAACTTATGGTTGAGCACAAGCCACCACAGCCTCGTACCAGCAGCAGTTAGCCCCGTTTTCTGCCTAAACAGGCTAATTCCCGCGCCGAAGCGTCCGAGTTGACAGGCTGTGTGACCTCCTGAGTCTGTCCCGTCCTCGTACAGAGATTTATCTACAAAGTATTCCAACCAGCGTGAAGAAGGAATCGGTAGCGACGATGCACTGAGGCAATTGCCACCTGCCTCAACCTCATCACCAGCTCAGCTCTATAGGCCTTTCGTTTCTGCGTCCAGTCCGTCCTGGGCGGACCGATCAAACAGGATGAACCCGATCGGGCAGCTGGCCGGACGGACGTTTGGTCCTGCGGCGCGCGGTCTGGTCCGCGGCTGCTGTGTATCTGTACCACGTCCACTACTGCCATCACTTCTTGTAACACCAACATCATCGTCCTCTTTTGGCTCATCGGCGCCGGCTTCTTTTTCTTCATCATGCTCGTACAACATCGGCTTCAGACGCCACTTCTCGAATTCGACTGTCCTCAAGGCAGCAGCTTCCACCACATCTACGTCTAATGCTCTCTGTTCCTCGGCTTCCACTATCGGACGGATTGCTCGCGATGCCTTCATTGCAAGGTAAGTTTGTCTGGTCTGCTTTCTTTTGGTTTCAAGGTTCCCCTTCGTTGAATGGCCACCTTTCTATCTGTTGGGACCTTTCTATTTTTTCCGAAGTACCCTCATCTCGGATAACAAAGGCCTAGTAGACCTTGATTTACTCTGTGCTTTACCTTACTCTTTGGTAATGGAACAGCAACGATGGTAGAAACGGGTGTTCCTGGACTGCCTGTACCGGAAGGTATTAGTGGCCTGCGCGCACCCGTGGACCAAGTCGAGCGTAGCGGCGCCTTGCTTGTGGTGGGCGGCATACTCCACGCTTACCTCACTCAATGAGTGGACAGGAGTGGACAGCCCCAGAACGCAGGAGAGCTACCTACCAGCTTGACCCATGCAGGGACCTTTTGTGTGCCCCTCGTTGCCCCTCACCTCGGAGCATCACCATCGATCCACCCCGGAACTCTCTCCTTCACCTTGATCCAAACCCACAACCATACCACCAATCCGGATATCTGCCTCAGTACCTGAGAGTCTACTACCACGCGCCAGTCGTCCCATTTGCCGCTTGCCGCTTTGCCCATAATCCCAAGTAGGAAGGCACTCTCTTGTGGAGCTGGCACAGCTTCTACTCTGATCGTATCCATTACACTACTCTTCTTTTTTTTCTTCCGCCTCCCTCCTGCTACCACTACTACCACCTTACTCTTCTTTCCTCTTCCTCCGTCCTCCCATTTTCCTATTGTCCTCCTTGTCTTACTACTCCTCTTTGCAGCCTACCCTTAACCACCCCAAGGGTACGAAACTGACATAAAGCTCGCCTCGCGGACAAATAGCTACCGCCGACCTTCTTCCTTCCCCGCACCCGCTTCCCACCGCAACTACTGCTCGACAATCACCACATCCGACAAGGCACTGTACGCCAGCAGAGTCGGCAACATGGCTGATCGCGAAGTTCTCCCCGAGTCCATTCGGCCCTCCCACTACGTCCTTTCCCTCCGTGACCTCAACTTCAAGGACTGGACTTACAAGGGAACCGTGACGTAAGGATACACCCCTACCCCTCACTCCGCCTGAGCTCCGAGCTTCAGCTTCAGCTTCAACTTCAGCACGAGCTGCAACCAGCACTTCAAAGACGTTCCCGGGATGCTAACCTCTTGCTTGCGCCCCACAGCATCGACGCCGAGGTTGTCAAGCCTACCAAGGAGATTGTCCTCAACGCCCTCGAGATCAAGCTGCTCAGCGCAAAGATCGCCGTCGGCCACACCAAGTCGACGCAATCATGGGAGTCCACCAACTTCAGCTATGGCGAGAAGCAGCAGCGCGCTACCGTCACCTTTGACGAGGAGATCCCCCAGGCGCAAAAGGCTGTTCTGACCATTGACTTTGAGGGCATCATCAACAACGAGATGGCTGGCTTCTACCGCAGCAAGTACAAGCCCGCCGCCGAGCCCGCCAAGTCTGTTCCCCGCGACGACGAGTGGCACTACATGTTCAGCACACAGTTCGAGTCTTGCGACGCCCGTCGGGCCTTCCCCTGTTTCGACGAGCCTAACCTCAAGGCCACCTTTGACTTTGAGATTGAGATCCCCGACGACCAGGTCGCCCTCAGCAACATGCCCGTCAAGGACACCAAGAAGACCAAGGAGGGCTGGCAGCTGGTTTCCTTCGAGACCAGCCCCAAGATGTCCACATACCTCCTCGCCTGGGCTGTTGGTGACTTTGAGTACGTTGAGGAGTTCACCGAGCGCCGCTACAACGGCAAGCAGCTGCCCGTTCGTGTCTACACCACCCGTGGCCTGAAGGAGCAGGGCCGTTATGCTCTGTGGCACGCGCCCCGCATCATCGACTTCTTCTCCGACATCTTTGGCATCGAGTACCCCCTGCCCAAGGCCGACCTGTTGGCCGTCCACGAGTTCACACACGGAGCCATGGAGAATTGGGGTCTCGTCACCTACCGCACTACCGCCGTCCTCTTCGACGAGAAGACGTCCGAGGCCAGGTACCGCAACCGTGTCGCTTACGTTGTCGCTCACGAGCTGGCTCACCAGTGGTTCGGCAACCTGGTCACCATGGACTGGTGGGATGAGCTGTGGTTGAACGAGGGTTTCGCCACCTGGGTTGGATGGCACGCGACAGACTACCTGCACCCCGAGTGGCAGGTTTGGTCTCAGTTTGTCAACGAGGGTATGGAGATGGCCTTCAAGCTTGATGGCATCAGAGCCAGTCATGCCATCCACGTGCCTGTCAAGGACGCCCTTGATGTCAACCAGATTTTCGACCACATCAGCTACCTCAAGGGTTGCTCGGCCATTCGCATGCTCGCCAACCACCTCGGTGTCGAGACCTTCCTCAAGGGTGTCTCCAACTACCTGAAGGCCCACCAGTACGGCAACGCCAAGACCAAGGCGTTGTGGGATGCTCTCACTGAGGCGTCCGGCAAGGATGTGAACAAGCTCATGGGCCCCTGGATTTCCAAGATTGGTCACCCCGTTCTGACCGTCGCCGAGGAGCCCGGCCAGATCTCCGTTAAGCAGTCTCGTTTCCTTTCCACTGGCGACGTCAAGCCCGAAGACGACGAGACCACCTGGTGGATTCCCCTTGAGATTGAGGGTAAGGTCGGCACCAAGGGTGTTACCTCCCTGTCTCTCGAGAAGAAGGAGGACACGATCCGTGATATCGACACGGACTTTTACAAGCTCAACTCTGGATCTTCCGGTTTCTACCGTGTCAACTACCCCCCTGAGCGTCTTCTGAAGCTCGGACAGCAGCTGGATCGCCTCACCACCGAGGACAAGATTGCCATCATCGGCTCCTCCGCCGACCTTGCCTTCTCTGGCTACGGCACCACCGCGGCTCTTCTGTCCTTCGTCCAAGGCTTCGCCAAGGAGGACAACTACCTCGTGTGGAGTCAGGTCCTTGACTCTATCGCACTTGTCAAGTCCATCTTCAGCGATGACGAGACGATCAAGAAGGGTCTGGAGACTTTCACGTTGAAGCTTATCAACGACGTCGTGGCCAAGATGGGCTGGGAATTCCCCGAGGGCGAGAGCTACCTTGACGGACTTCTCCGCAAGAGAGTCCTCCTGACTGCTGGTGTCAACGGCCACGCTGGGTAAATATTATCCACCATTGATGAGTCTATACAAGTACTAACAACCGTAGTGTCACCGAGGAGGCCACCAAGCGCTTCAACGCCTGGGTTGAGTCACCCGAGTCTAACCCCCTGCACCCCGCTCTCCGCACGCCCGTCTTCCGCGTCGCCATCAAGAACGACACGGCCCGTGCCGTCGAGGCCTTGAAGAAGGAGTGGTTCACCACCCCCGCCATCGACGGCAAGGAGATCTGCCTCTCCAACCTTGGTTTCGTCCGCGATGAGAACATCATCAAGAACAACCTGCTCCCCTTCCTCTTCAACAAGTCCCCGCCCGCCCCGGCTTCGGACTCCGTCCCGTCCGCCGACATGCACTCCCTCGGCTCCGCTCTCGCCGGCAACTCGGTCGCCCGCCAGATCCAGTGGGACTATGTCAAGAACAACTGGGAGGCCTGCCTCGCCAAGCTCGGCAACCCCATTGTCGTTGACCGCTTCATCCAGGTCTCCCTGGGCAAGTTCACCGACTTTGAGTCCGTCAAGGACATTGAGGCCTTCTTCGCCGACAAGGACACGAGCGCTTTCGCCCGTACCCTCGAGACCGTCAAGGACAAGGTCCGTGGTCGCGCCGCGTACCGCGAGCGTGACGCTGCTAAGCTGAAGGAGTGGCTCGTCGCCAACAAGTATGCGTGAATCGACGGGGATGAATTGGCGACAACTGGAGGAGTACAGAAAGGGAATATTCCGTCCAAGTTGTAGTCAGCTAGCTACAGAATGCTAGCTTTTTGTGGAAAAGCAAAAAAAAATCCAATCATTATTTACGTTACTACGTCTGTGGTCTTCCTTCGTTTGTCTGTTGATGCAATCTGAAGTGATACGATGTCAATCCCCCTGGCCCGAGGGCAGTCGAAATTGCAGTGAGAACCTCACAACCAACCACGATGGTCAATGACAACTTTTGACTAGACCGCTTAATCACCTATGGATGTTTACGAATTGCAGCGAACTAAACGACCTGTCCAACGACCAGCGAAAATTCCAGAGCAATGGCCTCATCTTCAGACCCATCACCTTCGTTTTTCAACATCGGGAGCCATACGAGGGGAGCATAATGTAATTTGGGCAACATCGCACGTTTCATTATTTATACATTCGAGACGCCCAGGGAAAGCAAGTCGCGCCTATAGCTAGCTAGGTAGCCTGCTTTCCTTGCGTCTTGTTCCTCGAAACCTAATGTACGCTTTTGCAAAGAGAAGCTCAGAAGACTATAAAAGAAGACACAAAAACACAAAAAGCCCATCCGTCCATCATGAAACCACTCTCCGAAGAGGAACTTCCATGAGAGGCCTGAGATTAGCCCGATCAACACCCCATTCAAACGCCGAAACCCGTGCAAAATCATGCATATCTTTTCATTCCATACACATCCGCCCCCCTTCCGTCTTTCTGGTTTGGTCGTTTTCAGTTCAACTGTGGCGGTATCGTACTGGAAGAGATTTGGTTTCTGGTTTTCGAATCGTAGACTAGTCAAACATGTACACGTGCCGTGCAGGCCAGGTAGGTGTCGCATCAGCCTTGGAACGCAGCGCGGCGGAGATTCTGCATCATCCTCTCGACGATGGCCGTTGAGTCCGTAGGCACATCGGGCAGAGGAACGTCGTCCTCAGGAGTTTGATGGGGCGGGGGTAACGATGGCTGCGCTTGCATTTGATGTTGTTGTTGCGGCGGTGGTGGTGGCGGCTGCTGCTGATTCTGCTGTCGATAATGCTGTTGGTATTGCTGTGGCGGAGGATGCTGGTGGTACTGCTGATGATGTGGAGGCTGCCAATGTCCCGGCGGGGGCGCCCAGGCTTGGGGCTGCTGTGTCTGCTGCTGCTGCGTCGGTCCCCAGTTTGAACCCTGGCTCTGGTAGCCTGGCATGGCAGCT